CTAACGAATAAAACTAGCCGCTGTTCTGGCTCTCACATTTCGCCGTCTGCTGCGCGCGTTTCAGCCGCAGGGAGCTTTCGGTTTCTACGCTGGGCTTAACATTGTGGCCCTAATTTTAATATTCCTCTTCATGCCCGAAACCAAGCAGAGAACGCTGGAAGAATTGGATTACGTCTTTGCTGTGCCGACGCGTACCCATGCGTCATACCAGCTCTTTACTGTTCTACCATGGTTTGTCCGCAGGTATATCTTCATGCGCAAGAATGCCGTGTGTCCTGAATTGTACCATATGGATTTTGCCTCGGATATCGAAGGTAGGCAGAAGACTGCTGCGCGTGAGAGAGGTGTTGCTGTTGCGGAAACTGTCTAGGAGTCTTATTTATGGGGACAGAGTGTAGTACGTACATAAGGGTGATGTTTTTATGGAAATGCCAGTTCAAAACTAAGAAGGATAGGGATTAGGGACACCTCATGACTCCAGATGACATTGAAATAGAATTTGGAAAGTATATGAGTATGTATTTTTTGCTGTTTGGTTGGAAATGGAAAGGTAGTCGGAAGCATTAATAGGGGGAACAACAAAGCCGTGCTAGTACAATAAATCTTTTTCACTTTGACTTCCGTTTTCTTCTTTCGCTGGTTTAATGTTGAGCAAGCAAAGATACTAATGAATGACAAGAGCAATGGTTCAGCTCTCCCTCTGATGTTTTGTAGAAAAGCGTTTGGTATATAGTTCAATTAATGGAGAGGAAGAAGAGTGAAGAGGTCAACAGCCTTAATACCTCCCTGATTGTGTAATTCTTCGTATGTTAAAACTGAGAGTTGGATATATGGGGACCGGGATTTTCAAGGTAAATAGAGATTCGAAAAGAGATAGTTATGTCACCATACTTCAAATCAGCCCATGTTTATCCTCAGTGGCTTGATTAATAGCTATTCCTTTCTAGGATATCAAGGCACGTGAGATTGCTTCACTGTGCCTAACACATCAATTTGCATGCCATATCATCCAATGCCAGTCAGACTGTCATCATTTCAAACATACCACCAACTAGTTGCCTTGTTTCCAAGGAGTTTCCGATGGCAAAGCTGACTACTGACCTTCTGTTTGTATTGTTTGACCAAGCCAAGCCAAACAACTTCAAACTGACTTCCCTCTTTTGTCCAGGCAACCCAGGCAGCATTCATTCTTTAAAATAATAACAATAATAGTTAACAATAATAACAACAAACATAAAAAAAAAAATTAAAAAAAAATTAAAAAAAATTAAATTCCAGATAATATAGGTTGGTCTGATGAATAGCTTCCCCGGGGCGGTCGCGTGGTAAAAAACTTCCATTTGGCGTAAAACCTGACAAGTTTGGCTGTTTGAACTCTACCATTCCCATTCCAGGGGCCGGGAAAGGGTAGGAAGGAAGCGGATGTAGCATTCCCCCAGCACCAGAGCTGGCAGTGTGAATCTTTTTATGATTCAGCATTTCTGTTGGAATTCCTCCCAGTGGGCCGCCCTGCTCCGCCGGCAAAATGACCATAACACCGATAATGTTCACTCAATAGCTAGCTTCTTAATTAATGATCTTGCTCTTCAGCAATTCCGGCATTTTTTATATGACTCCATTCCTCGCAACTCTTTCCCCCTTTCTTGTTAGGCACCATATATGGTCTCTTCACTCCGTCGCATTGTGGTAGCGGTTCCATGTGTGCGCACATGGAGGTAAGGGTCGGTTCTTATCCTCCGAAAAAATTCAAGCACTAGATAGCACGCATGCGGTCCTGTCATATATTTTGGCACCTTGGGAGAGACATCCACCGATGAAGTTAATTCCGGAGGGTATATGCTTGAAGTAAGAGGTCTGTGGATAACTGAAGCAGCCCCTAGGCCAGCTTCATCCACCGACCCGGGGCATGGAGCTCTCCCACGTATGTACAGTGGGTCCATAGGAACCAAAGAATCGTTCTGTCAAATGGCATTATGTATGTAGAGAACAGCTAAAAGCACCAATAAATATCTTGCTCTCATCCACACATTGGGGAAGGATTCTCTTCAACCAAAAATAGCATAGAACTTCAGAAATAGTGTATTGGAAGATGACAGGTTCCTCTATGCTGTCTAAAAAGTATTTTGGCGGATTCAGATCACCTGAAGACAAAAGCAGTGATAAAGAATGGCATCACATGGTGCCCACTGCCTATTAGTTACAGACTGCACTACCTACCGCGTATAGGCTCAAAATATGGTTAATGGGAGCGAGCGATTTTAGCACTGTGGCTTAACGGAGACCATGATAAATGATGTGTAGAAGCTGCGTCGTTAATCTGTGGGCTGGTTGCTTTGAACACGTTAAAATTGAAGTCATTATCCCGACGTGGATAGAGAATAACCCATGCATTAACTATCATTTAAGCCCAATAGTTAGTTAACGACAAGGGGATAAGTCAAGAGACATACATGCTCGCGAATCTCACTACACCAGAGAAGGCATACGGAAGTTACTCATAAATCGGACGCCTTCTTTCTTTAATAGGTTGACCTCATGGGTTGTTGATTGATATATTTACCGTTAATAGTAAAAGCTACTGCGGGATGTCCCGAGCAGGTCTCGCGGCATTGCCGCATCTAACTACTCTACCACTAGTCTCAGGAGGGACAACTTTCAACTTCCGGCTATCAGGCCACAAACCAGTGCTCAACTTGTGAGGGATCCCGTTTCAAACAGTACACATCACCTACCTTGGTCTACCAACCAAGAGTAATGCGTATTTGAATAACCTCTAAGTTCCCACACTATTCCGACCAAAATCCAAGTCTTTGGCCATCTGTCACATGCTCCTGGCGCGAGTGTGGGAGGCGTGGCCAACTCGGCGCCCCAACGCTCGAACACCCTCCACTTCCGCCCTTCGTGTCCGTAACACGGTGTGAGCCTTGGGAAACTGTCTTCTGCATTGTCCTACAGCTAAGTTCCAGCTTGGTCTGTTTGCGTTTGCTCTGTTTTACGAATTTCTGGTCCTCCAAATTTCTTCACAACCATGCCTGAGTCCTTGGAGTCACCTAACCCGATCCCACCCCGCACAAGCTCTACGGGGGTCACAAACGGTATCTTCGACTCTACCATGAGCGGCTCTCTGAACAGCTGGGGTTCCCAGAACTCGATTTCTAAACCTCTTCCGGAGGCACAGTGGGTTGCTCCCTTGACAAAAAGACGAACGTCAATCCCGTTCAAACACACCATGGGACACACGCGAAATCGATCCAGCATTGACGGCTCCAAGTATAAAGACGGTACATGGTCACCGGAAAAGGAGAAAATTTTGCTAGGCCCTTATGACTATATGGTTCAACAGCCGGGGAAGGATATACGGAGGCAGTTGATTGCTGCATTTAACCGTTGGTTGCACGTTCCCGAGGAAAGTCTTGCAATAATCACCAAGGTCGTGGTTATGCTGCATACTGCTTCACTGCTGTAAGTGTTTTTGTGCCGGAGATATCTTGCTTTTGCTGGGAAGGTGTACTCATATGTGCGCATTCTGTAGTGTTGACGACGTGGAAGATTCGTCAAATCTCCGCAGGGGAGTTCCGGTGGCTCATAATATATTTGGCACAGCGCAAACGATAAATTCTGCGAATTATGTCTACTTTCTGGCCTTGGAGGAGGTCCAGAAGCTTAGAAGTCCGAATGCTATCAATGTTTATGTGAAGGAGTTGTTGAATTTACACCGCGGACAAGGCATGGATGTATTCTGGAGGGACACACTTACATGCCCAACGGAGGAGGAATACCTGGAAATGGTGGGCAATAAAACTGGAGGTCTCTTCAGACTTGCAATTAAACTGATGCAAGCGGAGAGCGACACTGAAATGTAAGTCCTATCTACCACAATCATAACTACCAACATTTATTAATATCCAAGCATCCAGTGATTGTGTCGCCCTCGCGAACCTTATGGGCCTCATCTTCCAAATCTGCGACGACTACCTCAACCTTTCCAACTCAACATATACCAAAAACAAAGGCCTATGCGAGGATCTTACTGAAGGCAAATTTTCTTTCCCCATAATCCACAGCATCCGCTCCCACCCAGATAATCTTCAACTCATCAGTATTTTGAAGCAAAAGACTAGAGATGAAGAAGTCAAGAGGTATGCTGTCAGTTACATGGAGAGTACGGGTAGCTTTGCCTATACACGCAAAACCGTCATACAGCTACGCGAGAAGGCTCTTCTATTAATTGATGGACTAGAGAAAGCGGCCGAGCATGGCCCTAGAGCTGATCAGACGGGAGAGCGGAGTGGTGATCCGGTGCGGACTATTTTAAATAAGATGGTTGATGCGACGGTGAATAGTGAGAGTGAAGTGGGGGATGGGGGAGCTACAAGCTAATGCTAATCAGTTTTGGTGGACGTTGTTGATTCAACGGTTTAATGATATGACGAGGTATAATACCATACCCACGCTGTCATTTTGGTTAACCAGACCGCCACTGATTTTTTGACTTACAAGGAAATGATTTCGTTCTTAATTTACCAATTTGCTTTTAATTTGGCAAAACTGTGAATTATTGTAGCTACTCAACATGGGCTCTATCTTTCTACGTTTAGAAGTTCATTAACTACCAGCATGTCAGAATCTTACACATAATATAATGGAAATTTTACATAGAAATGTTGCATGACCGAGCTTCAACTGGCCAAATCCAACACAACACACGGAAAAGATTTCCAACGTGGGTCCTTGTATACCCCACCGGATATTAACGCGCAGATTCACCGACAGCTAATCTTTCGGCATGAACTTGATCTATTAAAGGGCGTACGCTTGCAACAACCACCCCAGTCGGCGATAACGAGACATGTGACTATCAAACATGTGTTCATGAACCAAAAATCACCGTCTCTCCCGACTCAAATGGGCGAATCAATTTCATATTTTACTGAAATTACCTCACCGAAATATTTCCTCCGTTACCGGTCATCCCATAACCACCAACGGAACGGCAAAAGATGGCGAGCTCCAAGCCGTGTAGAGCAGCCCATGATTTCCGCAGCGACACTTTCACCACCCCCACTCCAGCAATGCTGGATGCTATGGTGAATGCTACATTCGGTGACGGTGTATACGAAAAAGATCATACAACTATCGAGTTCCAAAATGAAATCACTAGATTAACCGGGGTGGAAGATGCTCTACATGGGCAATCAAATTGGGGTTCGAGTTCACCTCGACCGGCCTCCACACTCGATTCTGTGCGATTATCCGCTTACGTCTATGCTGAAGAAGGCTCGGGACTGGCAATATTGTCGCAAGCCATGGTGACGCCTGTCCACCCTGCAAACGGAATCTACTTGACCCTTGCCGACGTGAAACTGTGGGTAGTTTTGGGTGACGATGTACATGCTGCGCCTACAAAAGTTCATCAATCTCGAAATTACCGTGGGGAGGTGTGCTTACGCTGATGGAGGAGATTAGAAAGATTTCCGAATTTGCCCGTGCTAAATGGCATCAAGATCCATTGCGACGGGGCTCGATTGTGGAATGCTTCTGTGGCAAGCGGCCATTCCTTAGCCAATTATTGCCAGTATTTTGATAGCGTTTCAATGTGTGTTTCCAAGGGACTTGGTGCACCCATTGGTGGGGTCCTTGCCAGCACCAAGGCGAGTGTCAAACATGCAAGATGGCTGAGGAAGCAACAAGGTTGGGGAATTCGGCAGGCTGGAGTTTTAACGTCCGCTGCTCTGGTGGCGTTAAAAAAGTCGTCTGGCCCACCATGAAGGAAACGCACCAAAAAACGAAAAAATTGGCTAAGGATTTGGAAGCGTTGGGAGTCGCGCCTCAGATTCCTGTTGATACCAATTTTTACTTCTAGGAAATTGAATATTGACATGGGGTTCTTATTAGAGCAGTGCCAGAAGTTCAGTTTGAAGCTGATGGATGAGCGAATTGCTCTGCTTAATCAGATCAGTGATGAAGCAATTGAAAATTTGAAGGCTGCCCATTGCCAGTGTAGTGGAAATTACGAAGAGCTTACTACCTGGATACGTTCCCAGGGCTCAAGCCTGTGGTTATAGCATCAGTTCGAAAATGAATATAACTAAACTGCTAGTCGGAATTTGCTCTTGTATATAGACGGATATAAAGGAGATTGTGTCTGATTTTTTTTTTTTTTTTTTTTTTTTGTTTTGTTCTCCTCTATCTCTAATTTGAAGTGAAATTTCAAGGGCCTCATATTTCCGGACTAAGATATCTAAAGTCCACCGTAGCCTGCTTGCACAGAATGTTTTAAGAACGTTGAGTAGGGTCCCCGAAAGTAGCTGCAGATTTGTAATCGCTGAAATCATACTCAACATTATGATCTTCCGCATCATCTTCACCATCAGAGAACTCAACATCCTGAATATTTTCACCCTCATCCTCCTCTTCAGCTGTAAACCCATTATCTTCTTTGCAGACATTCCTCCGGGCCACAATGGTTTGTTTCCGGGTAAAACAGAATGGCAACTTGAACAGCGAAATACATCCATCTTTGATGACCTCAACAGTTTGGCCGATGGAACTGGCGGTGTCGGTAGCTTGTCCATCAGAATAATATGGATGAAAAATACCATTCCTGGTTTGGCCACGACATCTTGTCCCCGTACGAACATTGGGAAATCAATCCAAGTAGGAGCAAAAGTAGCACCCAGACTGTAACCACAGGAGTTAAACCGTTGATCGCGGAATCCATTTTCGTCTGCAACTCGGGCGTAAGCTTCAAAAACATCCCCGATTTCTCGACCGGGCTTGAGTACTTCCATAAAAGCTTTCATTTGCAAAATGGTAACTTCGAACATGCGGCGGGCCATCTTGGTTATCCCGCCAATTGGTATTGTTCGCATCAGAGCGCAATGGCAGTGTTCATGAGCAGCAGCAAATTCGAGGGTGAGTTGTCGATCAATCTTGTCCTTTCCGGTCGAGTACCGTGTAAGAACCTCCTTGTTCCCGGAGACAAGAATGTTTTCATTTGCCGGATCATCCCCACCGCTTTCGTAGACAGTGCCAACAAGTTCTTGTCATAAATCACCCTCCCTTGTAGGCGCCCTGCTTCGCTAGCTTGAGAGTTCGAACGAGAGAAATCAGCAAGGTAACCAGCTTTCCGGACGTTGCGGAGTTCTGCTTCGGATTTGGCAATTCGCAATTCTCGGGTGAGCAAGTTGCTGTGATCGACCAAGGTGCAGATGCCCTTGACTTCTTCTTCTAATAACATGAATCTGGTTCATAGCCGATTCGTTGAGGACTTATCGATACCAAATTCTTTCAAAACTCTCGGGACCAGGGAAACGGGATTACTGCTCGCATCGTCTGATCGAATAGGATATCTTTCTGATCCAAAATTGACGTATAGATCCGGGATTCGAGTAATCAACCGCATCCTTCCATCGTTGTGGAAATACATGGCTTGGAAAAACACGTAGCCAAAGGTGTCGAATCCTGTCAGATAGTACAGGGACTCCTGCTTGGTCATGAGAAAGCCATTGAGATTATCCCGTTTCATGAGCTCCAGAAGCCGGTTCCGTCGTTCCTGAAGCTCTCCTTCGGAAAACCATAGTACCCTCTTGAAAGGCGGGGGCTTTTTGACAGTGACCATGTTCGAATTTCAACCCTAATATAGGTGAAAGTCCGTCTCACCTGGATTAATAACTGGGCATCTTGAACCCGATGGAGCCCCACTGGGGCAAAGATGGCATCACGAGCATGTTCGAACTTCGCAGATGGCAAAAGGGGAGAGGGAGGTGTTAGCTTCCCTGGTGCAAGAAGTTTCCCACAGGGAAAAGGACTTTTTAAATACGATGAGAATGTGGGAGGATAACTTGGTGTGCCGAAAGGGTCTTCCTGAATGTCTATCCTGTTTAACCCATTAAAATACAGGGACTCTATGGAGAATTCTGCATGGAAGGTTTTTGCTCCCCGCAATTGCCACATGGCGATCTTCTGGCGCCAATTCTCACTAATCCTGCTCTATTCCAACGTCTCTTACCAATATCGTATATACTCCGCTCTCCGCCAGCGGCTACGTCTGCTCTCTCGGACATGCAGGACATGGTTGTGCATCTTGATAAGGGCTCAATACTGAACGCCGATCTCCACTCACAAATGCCAGCTACATCGGAAGAGGAAACTGTTTCCTCCTTACCAATTGGCGGTGTGCTTTCATAACCCTTCATTGAAGGTTAAACAATAGCGTCACTGCGCCGCTGCCAGTTACCCATATCGTCGAGGTTTTAGGATTTTGCTGAAACGGACTAGACGAAAAGATGACTGAGAAAAGCAATCACCGCAAAAATACACCTTAACCCAGCGGATCCACTCACCCACCATAATCGATTTAGAAATTGCTCATATCTGCAATTAGTTTTATTATCCAATGACCGCACATAGAGCTCATACAAACCACAATCAGACCAGGTTTAATGGAAACTAAATGCAATTTCCATCTTCCATTTGTTTTGTCTGATTTGGCTTGCCGCCAGTGTTTTGTTTTCTTTTGTAATCGATGATTACTGCGAGAAATATACCCTCATGGGCTTCGAGAGGATGGCAGGAGGTGAACGACGTTTTGATGGGGAGAAAGGCCCACATTTAAACACATAGTCTAAACGCAAGTGTAACTGATGCCCTGATGGTGGCTGGGCGACGTGGTAAATAAAGGAATTTCTTTGCCAAACACCGTATAAAGCCGGCGTGAACCTTTAGAGGTTATACAGCTTCATATGAAACACAGTTCAACGTAGAAGGGTATCAACCGGCCGTTCTAATTTCATATTAACCATGCCTACATTTCCAAAATAATAGGCCGAAAACGCAAAAATTGAAAAGTGAAGAAGAATATCAAATCTGCAGCAGCAGAGCTCACATAACCACGCAGCAGGCCTTTTCCAGCCTTCGAATGATCTTAGGAGCAATCGATTTGACCGCCTGCTGGATCCCGTCAGGGTTTTGCTCTTGTTGTTGCTGTTGTTGATAGGGCTGTGGGGTGTGATGTGGCTGGTTTGGAGGTATGTGTACGGCGCCGCCAGTCAGGTTGACATAGATTCGCCCGGAGTTGTCCTCGGTGGTATACTGTAAACCTAGATCACGGCAAACTTGTTCCACTCGAGGTTTGAGCTTCTGAACATGATTGACCGAGTGGTTACCCTTCCCAATAATGCTGCATGAATAAAATCAATCGTCATTATTGTTTATCCGCTCGCATAAAAATACGGAAAAATGATCGCAGTCATACTTCCAATGTCTTCGCTACAGCTTCTTCGCTCATGGAAATTTTACAGGTCAATACTTACACATGAAGATGTGTCTGCCCATGCCGTTGGGCATACTTTATCCTCTTCTCCAAAATATCTTCTGCCTCCTCCACGAATTGGCCATGTAGGTCGATCGTATCAGAATCAACTCGCCCAGGCGCATTATTCTCCCGGAAAATGAATTCCGAGGCTTGCTTGTTAAATTCTTCCATTTTCTTCCCGTGCGCCTTGCCTTGCTCAGAAAGCTCCTTGGCAAGTCGGCCATCACCGTTATCATATGCCTGGCGAGACTGTAACCGGGAATAGACGGGGGTTAGCTGCAACTAGCCGGGGCGATGTTCAGTTTTCTGCGATTAGGTATAGGATAAACGAACTCTCTCGAAGCATGAGGAGCGTTGGGCAGCTTCGTGTCTAGCTGCATCGCGCAGGCGGTCGTATTCTGCTTCTGCATCTCGGCTCTGCTCATGATTAAAGGCTGGTGGTTGCCCGAGGTTCTACAGGTTAGCTTCGGTTTCGTACTATATTCCATCAATGGTGCGGAACGTACCCCTGGGTCCCAGATATGACATCTCATGCGACATTTTTCAGAATTCAAGGGAAGAGAATCATAGCCCCTTTTCACTGTGCTCACCCACCCGCCTTGCAATGGGTGTTGAATGTTGAAAGTGGAAAAGAAAACGTGAACCCATCGACAGATATTTAACCTCGGGAGTCGACGTCGACTTGGTCAATTCAGAGGTTAACTACGAAAAAGTCTTGCAGTCAACGTGACTCTCCACCCAACGCCCACTTACACACCTTAACGCCCGCCAAAAACAAACTCAACCTGTCAACTTCATAAAATAAAACATAAAAGGGAACTGAAACGCCTTACAGTTTCCAGTGAGTGAACAAAATTGCAGTATATGGTGGCGCCACCGAGTCCGAGGAATCCAAGATTTTAATGACGCTGCCTGTTGAATTGCAGTTCGATACTGGACAAATCAACACACGCAATTATAAAATTTCATCTCAGAATAATACAGAATCTCAACAAACTTATTCAGACTCTGTTAAGCAAAAAGATAGTAAAATATTAAGCAAAAATATCAACTAGACTATAGCTGAAAAGATATAAAGATAGTAAGCAAGTTTTCATAGTTTAATTATTATAAGAAATAAGCACTTCTCTAGATTAGTAAATAGATATAAACCATTTCCATAACTAATTATATCAAGTTAATATGTTTGTATTAATATATTCACACTTTGTAAAATAAAATTGAAGTATTAGTTTTCAACTGCTGAGAGTTATAATAAACTGAAATAACTAGTTTTATTCATAACATAACTATATCATGAATAATAAGAAAAAACTTGAGCTTGATATAAAGTACACACTATTGATAGCCAGTTTATGTCATTAAACAAAACTGCTTTAGAAACACAACTACATTACAGCTATTACTTAACTCTAATCCTCATTAACAGATACTTGTCTATTATACAATGCCTTGTTTTTCTATACCAAGGTGTTCCACTGTAAGACCTAGAATTATCTCATTAAGTTTTCAGAGACATCTGATCAGAAGTTAACAAAGAGATAGCAAGAATAATCAGCTTGATTGACTATTAAAATATAGTCAACATCATGCAGTTGCACCTCGAGTTGATATTTAGAGTGCTAAATATCTTCTGAAACATATCTACAGTAAAGCCTTGTTATAACGATTTAATCTTGGAGGAGCCTTCGAAGCCGCAATCCGGTGGGAAGGGTTTATTTTTCATAGGGTTGGATTCTGCAATATATGAGCGCATAGAGGTAGTTATCTTTTGATTGGCCGAAACCGCAGTTCTGCACGGCATTTTAACTCGGTAGTTATAACAAAATATATATTTAAAAAAGCACTTTATAACACCATCAAAGCACATAGATATTTTGTATCTCAAACACAACATCTTACATTGAGATACTTCTACGACTAATATCATAGTACTAGAAAGACTGACGGTATTTAAATATCCAGCACTTCCAGGAACCATACCATTAAAGGAATCCCTATCCCAATCATGTGTAGATGATTCATCTTGAGACTGATTTCTCGAGAGTCAAAAAGTCATCGCATGCAAAGCATTTCCCGAGAAGTCTAGAATCCTTTTATCAGTCTTTATCACCCCAATGCATCCTTCAAAGCCCATTGGATATTAATCTGGGATGATGCGGCAGCTGTCGCTTTCGCAAGACTCGCGCACTACGAATATCATTCATTCACCCGCCATATCATGAGCCTAACGAGCGCCAAAGAGAGTTCGTTGAATGCTCTCCACATTTCTAAGAGTGTCAACAACCAATCTGGGGTCTATCTCTTGGGGATTATTCCGCTTGCCACACCGGGGAGAGGGATTCCTGTGCGTTGTGTTAAATATGTGAATGGGCTTTAAATCGCTGCTTATATGCAACGATATGTTGAGTAACTATATGACAAGGTATTTATATTAACTATCGAGAACATAGTTTATGATAGAAAATGCGTTGATGATGTTATCAACCAGAACGAAGTCCAAAATTGGGCGCTGAAACTTGACTGTAGCAACAAACACTTCGGGAAGGACTTGGTATTTTCTTGATTAATTAGTTAACTAACGTCTTATGGTTGGCGCTTTTTGACACCTCAACCTCATACATTTTATATGCATTCTGGCATTTCTCCCAGACCGAAGGCCCCAACACGAACTATTCGAAATTTGTTTTCAGATAGTGGTTGGTAGTAAAAAACTGAGAGGCGGTAATTATGGGCGCCACAGCTTCTTCTCATCACCATTGCATTGAGGCTGAACCGCCACTGGCGGAAGATGTCACCCCGCACGCAAACCCCGAGGAATTATTCAACAGCTACGCGGCTGATCCTAATAATCATGGATGGACCGGAGCTGACTCTACGTTTTCCGTAAAGTTACCCGACGGTCGACTGCTCTGGCTTTTCTCAGATACATATCTGGGCCCCCTGAATCGCGATGGTACACGGCCAACAAGCACGAGAATGATAAATAATTGCTTCGTGGCCCAGAGCGGAAATACCTTGACAACTATTACGGGAGGTTCAGAAACAAACAGGACAGCAATCATGCCGCCTCCAGCCGAAGGTCGATGGTTTTGGCTAGGCGACGGCATAATATCGAACATGCATCATACTGAATACCTCCAGGTAATATTTCAAGAGTATCAGCGGACAGAGAGCGGAGGCCCACTTCCTTTTGAATTTGTGCGAAATGTTGTTGCAACATTTGATCTAGCTGACCTTGCTCGTCCGATCAAGGTGGATCCGCTCTCATCTGAAACGGGTACATCTTGGGGCTCAGCCATATTACCACAGGCCCACAGTGGGGATAACCACACGTACATATATGGTGTGAAAGGTGATGCCCTTAACAAAACCATGCGCATTGCGAGGTTCAGGGGATCCGATCTATCCAAGAATTGGGAGTTTCTCAGAAAATCTACAACACCAGATGATGACGGCCATTATGATGTTGAATGGACCCACTCGGAATCCAAGGGAACTGATGCTCTTGAAGGAATCGTAAACGAATTCAGCGTCACCCCATGGAATGACGGACAGTTTATAGTGGTAAGCCAGGATAGCTCAGAAATATTCAGTGCTAAAATTCTTATGTGGTCCAGCTGTGACCCGTCAGGACCTTTCCAAAAAATTGACTCTCCGCTCTATCGCATGCCCGAGTCTGGCCCGTCTGGGAACTACAAAAATTCAGATGTGGTTGGGTATAATGCACATGTGCATCCAGCTCTACAAGAAGGGGACCGGTGGACACTTTCGTATAACGTGAACAGCCTTGACAATCGCATCTCGCCTGAAGGTGATAATTTTCGGGATCCGAGCATTTACAGGCCGCGATTTGTGTCATTTAGACTTATTCCAAGCAAATACGGGAATGGTGGTGAAAGTTACATTGCTTAATACTTGATTAAATCCAGCTCAATAATGACTCTTGAGAACGGAAGGCCCTGAGAAAAATTGTTGTACTTGAGGTTAAGATGCTGAGCAACGTATTCCTGATCTCAAAGAGCGTCTACACATTCCTACAAAAAAATAACCAATCAATTGAAGTTATTCGTTATTCTTGGTTTCTGATTTCCACTCCAGGCTAATTTGGAGACTGACAATCAATTTTACACCTGCTCGTCATGACATCATAACGGCTTGGCGATCAGGAACGAACAAATCCGAAATTTTTATTTTTAGCTTGTCCCTGCGACGTAACAAATATATATGCATGTCATTTCCCCTTATTATATTCATTTTCATGATCACCATTTCTCAGTTTGCTTGCCCCTGTGATTTGCAATTTCACCGGCGATGATGCCATTTCATCGTTAATTTATGGGCCTTTGTCGAGATGAGACTTTTGTTGCTTTCTTGCCATGGTCCCACCAAAGAAGGGAGGTGAATGTGGACATACAACGAACAAATGCCAAACAACATAGCATCAACATCAAGAATCAAGAATCAAGAAAGTAGGAGACACTACACACTACCAGCCAAATCAAAATAGAAACCCTTTCGCAAAATCTAATTAAATTAGCACATTATTTACATATTTGAACATCCTCAAAGGCCAAGTGCTATTGCACAAGACACCTAAAAAATGACAGCCACAACAATCCTGAACGATCTCCTACCTCTACCAAACTTGCTAAATGTGCAAATACCCCGTCTAGGCTTCGGTGTCTACCGCTCACCTCCCTCCCAGTGCGAGAAAAGTTGTCTGGCGGCCCTCCTCGCCGGCTACCGACACATTGACACCGCACAATTTTACGCCAATGAGACAGAAGTTGGCAACGCCCTACGCAGCTCCGGTATGAGGAAAGAAATATTTGTAACAACGAAAATAATCTCTCCTGCAGGGTCTCCAGAGGAAACCTATGAAAAGCTTCTGGAGAGCGTGAAATAGATTGCTGGAGAAGGACAGGATGCGTATGTTGATTTGTTTTTGATTCATAGTGCGAAATCTGGGAAGGAAGGGAGGAAGGAGCTGTGGCAGGCACTAGAGAAGTTATTTGATGAAGGGAAGACGAGGAGTATTGGTGTTAGTAACTTTGGTGTGGGGCATATTGAAGAAATGAAGGAATATGCGAAGGTGTGGCCGCCGCATGTTAATCAGATTGGGGTGCGTGAATATACTTGTTTGGTTCCTCGTCTTTTGCCACTGGGTTGATCAGCGTTTATGCAGCCTTAGCTAACATATTTGTGGATTTTACAGCTTCATCCATGGTGCCAACAGAAGAAGCGTATTCGCCGCTCGTACGGAACTACAAGGCCACCGAGCCAGCTCTCGTCGGGATCGCGAAGAAGTACGGCAGGTCGACGGCGCAGATATTGATAAGATACGCTTCACAGAGGGGATGGGTTCCGTTGCCCAAGAGTGACAATCCTGATCGGATTCAAGCCAACGCCAATGTTTATGATTTCTTCATCGACGATGAGGATATGGCCGCCTTGAACGCACTGGATCAGGGGGACGAGGGGGCGATTGTGCAGGCTGTCAGTAATGAGTAATTTCTCCTCATTTCTGAGTATACTATCTTTAATAATTTTTGGCGCCATTAATAAATCACCTGGGTTGACTTTAATCCTATGTCGTGGAATTAGAGTCGCCGATCCATTTTGTTATCGAATAAGAAATATGGATCACGGTCGATTCATGAGATATGAGTTTACTGATTGTAACGTTGACCGGGAAGGATTCACGTCTTCCTTTGACGATAATATCCACGCGAGGCGTTGCCGGATATAATCCTTGTTAATCGAAACGTTACCCTGGGGACCTTTATAGTTCCCTGATGCACGGTATTAGTCGCTATATGTGTATATATCCAAATACTCATCTGATTTGGGATTTCCATACCTTCTCTATCGTAGAACAAACAAATTATTGTCAGGATTGTCCCAGCAGATAAGTCCCTGCCATTCTCGCAAGTTACCATTATTGACTGCGAGGAATCGCGAGACAAGTGCGAAGTGACAAACTGCTCAACTTTATCCAGAACCTTTCGTAGGTGTCGACTCCCAAGTTTCCCCGGAGGACAACCAAGGTTTAAAACTTTGGGATCCTCTGCGGGTGCAGATTTAGACTCAGATCCATCAGCACGTCCATCTTCTTTCCTATTACAGTTAATTTGTACATTGAATGAATTCCCCTCGCCCTTCACTTGCTCATCTGGCTGGCGGCTTTTCCTGATATAAACATTACTCGTGGGCTTTATAAGCACTGCGTCCTCTGCCTTCATCTCCTGATGATGTTTCTGAACTAATTGTTTAATTAGCTCTGGCAGATCTCCCTCATCAGTTGCAAACAATGTAGGTTTATTGTCCCAAAAGATATTTGGCGTAAGACCACAGGCCCAGGCCTCACTATCATCTCCAGCTCCCTGGATATAGCCACCCTCAGACATTTCCGCGCCGTGGACCCGTTTCGAGACAGAGCATAGAACCATGAGATGGAAATCATCCATCTCTTCCTCGGAGTACTCTGGCCAAAAATACTCTCGTGTTGCCCAAGCAAGTCTCAGTGGCTTCCCGAGTCGTGTTTTTAATTCTTGCATGTTGAGTTTGAGGGACTAGATTGGAGTCAGTGGGCACTTTCTCCTTGATATAAGGGTTAGGCTTACTCTCAATGAAATAACAAATTGATCTATTCTTTTCTCGATCTGCCACTCCTCAGAAGCACCAAGCAAGTCCGGTGGGAACTGTACATTATGATATGTTTTGTTGTCAGGGAAAAGAGCCCTATTGATGACTGCTGCCCATATTGGAACTGTCTTGCATAGTGCATCTGGCATGGCTGTGGGATGGTGAAATATTAGACTATAGTTATGCAAAAAGTAAAGAGATTATACCACTGTGTGATGACATCAAAATCAGTCACAAATCAGTAGGTATCAACACATACATTTTCCTCTCCTTGTTGAATCTACGATCACACACCTAATCAATAAATCAAACCAAAGAAACAAACTATCAGAGTCTTATTTAATATTTCAATGAGATAATTTGAGTACTGTTTGAGCTGAACTAACCCTCTATTCTCCCTCAAAATATCCAACAAATGTAAATTCAACCTCCGCAGACTGAAATTCCACTGTCCCTCGTGGCCATCGGTACTTTTAAAATACGCACTTCCCGCCTTCCTCTCCGTGGGTATATACCAGCTGCCGCATCTTTCATTGGCAACCAGTGGAAGCTCATAATGTTGCGCGACATGCTGAGCGAAAGCTGAATCTGTTTCAATGGAACGGAGTCTATTGGTTATCGAGAGGGTGGATTTTCGGAGTGCGGAGAGTGTTTGGGAGATGCTTTGATGGGCGGACAATGGAAAATGAAGGGAAGATATGGAAGTTGGATAGGGATTCGGGTTGGCCATGCTGTAGAATCTCTTTTGTGTCGTCTTATATTTTCCCAAGGTTTATGGAGAGACAACTATCTCGCTGGGAGCGTGAAATTTTTGGTCGTCAGATTTTAGTTCAGTTGAAGGCGGAAAACAACCAATCAGATGTAGGCAGGGAAGAGGCTCCTCTTTCAACGTCTGGTAGCTATTCAACTTCAGCTTTCAAACAATTCAGCAGTTTTTGACTTAATGAATTGTTTAGTATCCTTCTTCCCTTGATTCAATTCCAGGGTTTTGAGACTCAATAACCATCTTTGAGAGAGCATATCACAGTTATCAACAAGCCGTTAGCTTGTCAAATAATTGTCTACTTTGCACTGGTAGAACTTGTAGCTCTGTCATTTGACATATCAATTGGTACAGAAATCAGTATTCGTCTAAATTTGATATATTATATAAAGCATTAAATCCAACAATGTATCTGCTATCCAGGCTGTTGTGAAATGTCCTCGCATGAAAATTTCGACAACTCACTATGACGGGTGCCCATATACTCTATGCAGGAGACTAGATTCCAACGAAGCAGAGGCCTCTTCTGCTACACATCACTAACTAGATATCTCAGCCCAGCTACAGACTATCGCATTATTCAACCATCACATCCGTATCTTTCCTCATTTCCCTTGTCAAAATCATTGGATTCCCATTGCCGAAATCAGCCAAGCTTAGAAGCCGATTGCCGAACTTAGCGCCATATGAAGTTGCCGTTCGGCTAACGGCAACCTACCCTGTCACTCTATCGCAAGACGAAATCGATCGTGGCTTTTATTTTATTTTATTTTTTGGTTTCCATTGGGATTCGCCATACAATGTGTGCGAGAAAAATTGCACTGCAACGCTATTTCATTTGGAGGTCCTGGAATTCGTTGGGGTGGGGCATTTCGCGGCAATGCTTCAGCCACATAGATAATTGAGTAGCTGACCGGCTATCTGTGGAGATATTGGTATCAAATTCTCCAAGTCTCTCCACGCATACATTGTACTCCGCCCTAGGTTCTGGAACATGCTGATGTTTCCAGGGTTCATTGGGACAGGGTATTGGCAATCGCGTCGAGGTCAACTCAAAATCAGCGTTCTCATCAAGACCCCTGCTACCCTGCTTTCCTCATGTATATTTTCTATGTTTGTTTTCTAGAACTCGCCCAGGATTCACAATGCCCATCTCACTTGAGTGCCACGAGACAAGGCCGGAAGAATATTTTATACAAGATCACCACCTTGTAATCTCAAATCCCATTGCTTAATCTCAATCCTGGTTCGCTAGAGCGGATCGGGTATAAAAGATCAATGAAATAGACATCAGAGCATCTCTAAACTGTCATAAAAATATTTATAATTAACACCGTTGCTGGCTGTAAAAAATCCGTCCCTCCATGATCAGCTAGTGAGACTTAAGACAGGAATGGTATCGTATACTACCGAGATAGTAGTATTACATCTGGAAAAGCTTTTGACGAGTATTCGGAGAGGTACATAATAAAAGAGACCACGCGAAGATCACAAGCTCCCCTCCTGCGATGTTGGCTTTTCAAGTAGCCTGCTTGTTCCCCTTCAGAGAACCGCACTATGAGACCACGCTTTGCTATCCCTCATAATATCATTGCTGGTAATCGGCCTTATGACTAGTAGAGAGTCAGCTGTTGGATACTCTTTTTATAAATTAAGGAACACGTTACACCTTAGCATTTATTCACCGACACAACTTCATCCAAGTGCATGTCCTGGCTTTTCTCCTATTCTCCTTATTTCTTACCCCTTTACACATTTTTCTTTTCCAAAGAACGTCACCAAACCCATTCTATACTCCCTTGTTCAAATATTTCCCTATGATAGCTACTTTTCCAATTCCAAAAGCCCCATAGTTACCATGGCGCTCGGTCCACACGCAAATAGAGATACCCGTCGTTCGGAGGGCACCGAAATTCCGCTCCAAAAATTCCACGCGAAATATCACACTCAGCAAGCGGAAGAATTCCCAAGCAGTCGAGTTTCCACCCGGATCCGCTCGAAGCTGACTATACTGGACACGTATGCCATTTGCTTTATCACAAATTTCCCGGTGGGCAGTTCCTCCAATCGCGGCAAAAATTGGGTCTCGGAGTCTTACGCATGAGTCCTGTTCAGAAAAGGTGGACAGTAGCGTTTGCCTGGATAGAAAATATAAAAAGTCCGAACGCTATCCGATAGATTGGAGTATGAATCCTTCCCATAGATCGTGCAAGTGAAATCCGTGCGGGTCGGGATGAATCTACCAGTTGGGCGGTGCAAATACAAAGCCAGATATTATCAGTTGAGAAGCTTTCGCGAGCAATTATGGAATCCTCTGCGAAGCAATTTGAGATGGCCAGATTTGATGCTGGTAAGGAGAATATGTTCCTTGTTGCCGCTCTTAGGATACTCGTCATGACCTGAATGTTAGTTAACTTTAGCAGCGTTAGTAGGGATAGATATGAAGCCGATGGATTTCTTATTGACAAGAAAATTTTTCTAAACAACATTTGGCTCAAGATGTTTCGGTAGGGGAATGAGATGTGGAGGTAGAGTTAGCCAGGGCAGACGATTAACTACTAACACTCCTAAAAGACAAGACATCCGATTCATATCAATTTCATTCAATATATTGGCCTCATTTTTCTAAGGGTTGATGGCAGATCTTCCTTTCTTGTCCTTGAGAATGTAATACTGCTTGCGGTCTATTTTCCACCGGGCTATATGCGTTCCTTTGATGTCAGTACTATCATGACATTTAGACATTTAGCAGTGAACAAGAAACCATGACCAATGAATTAATCGAAAGTGTTAATAGGGAGAAACTAATTTGGTTTCAGAGTGATCCGTTCTTGAAGAGTTAAGGTTGAGGATGCAAATATTCTTCAAATATTGCCCTTTGCAACTCGCCGGAATCGGTGATAAAAGGCTAACTCTGCTTTTTGTAATGGAATCGTTGGCTGAACAGGGACCCGTGCCCAAGGTAGAGCGGTGATTAAATTTAGATTGTTTTAGTATTTTCCCTCAGAGTGATGTCATACAACTCCCCAAGAGGTTACTCCGAGAATTCAATGATTCATGAATACCATGCCAAAATAATTCATTGATCAACTGAGGCCAGGAAAGATAAGGTATAAAGGATTGCATTTCATCCCGCTCATGTAGTAAACCAATATGTAAACTCCTGTGATCCCTCTTCTTTCGGTCATCCGGCGTCCTACAGTCTTGTAGATATACCTGAAGGTTGGGCATCAACGGTCGGCATAATGACGTAGGAGGCCTTGGTGTGATTGGGGGGTTTTTTGGAGGGTCCAAGCAGGGTTCGAAAGTTGGGCTTTTAGTCAAGGGTCAGATTGAGCAATCAATGACAGCCATACCACAGGAAAGAGGAAAGTTTTCGTTGACAGAACAACCATGCATCTATGCAGCTGTGGATGGAAACGAAAAAAGGCATGACTGTCCAACCACCAAGCATTGCCTTGGCAGGAGGCGGGCAACAGTTGACCGCCTCTAACTCCAGCCTGTTTTGGTTTCCAATGCTCGAAGGATTTCCCAGCTATGAGAACAGATTATGCGCGTTCCACACGTATCCTCTTCTAAGCTGTCCCAGGGCTTTCTTGCTAGGACGGAGGAGGAGAGCAAACAGGTGGGCCCTGGACCTAGTTAGTTTCAACTCCTCTTGCCCGAATGCAGCCAGGATAGAATTTTCTCATTTTGACCTTCTGGCGTTTCAGTATTCCCGAAACTTACCGACTTTGGAGATCTTGTCCAATTGATTTTCGAATTTTTTTTTCTCCCGCCTTTCGTTAACTACCAACACGGACACATCAAAAAGAGAGAAAAGAGGGGGGGGGGGGGGGGGGGGGAAGAAGGGTCAATTAAGGGGCCACAGATATCATTATTGTTCCCACCGCCAAAAGGCCCAGTAGCACTGGTGATCTTGATTTTCTAGAAGAAGATAGCTTGTCTGCGTTTGGCTCGTTCTAATAACCCAGAGCGGCCTGGCTACCATGGGAAAGGTGATACTGACAGTAGATTTAGATTTAACCGCAGCCAGGGTAACCATCATATCTTGAATGTGGCGGGCGATGAATTTAGGTGTGGTTTTTAAATTTTTTCCCCCCCGCTCTTCATTTTTCGCCATGTAAAATCAAAAACTACAGGATTTTTTTTTTCGAATGGCAATAACCTCATGGAGTAGGTGAACCACTTTTGCTATGGTCAAGGCCGCATTGGTTGATGGCACGGTGTGTCCGCGTAGAAAGTCAGAATCATTATTATTGTTGTTGGGTAACTAGTTAGTTATTCCGTCGATCTCAAGAAGAGAGCAACGGACATTTGTAATTGATTACGCTGAATTGGGCCTTGCTTTACTCCACTCCGCCCCTTTCCTGAACGTTGGTGACGATTAGAGTTGTTTTAGTGCCCGAACTGAAAACAAACGGATCAACGGGCCATTGTCTGGTATTTAAGAATGGATTCTCTGGGGGAAGATGGCCCAATGACGGTCTTTGACTGAACTGCCTTGCTTGCCACATAAATCACTCGTTTGCATTCACGGTCTTCGCTGGTGCCTCTTAAATAGTTAATTAATCCCCAACCCCTGCCAAACATTCCCCGCTTTCAACTTACATCGCACCCCTTTCTCCAAATCTCTTTGATCAACAAACCCCCCACCATCCACGTCTACCAGTGATTAATTTTCCTTGAAGCCGCTCTATTCCAAATCCAAAAAGAAGAACCTCTTCTCTCAAGAACTTTTCAAAACAAACTGTCGCCAATATGACTAAGGTAGGACAGCCATCCAACATGTCCCAATTCCACCAAAGCTACCATCCTATCTTTTTTCATGCAACGCAGGATTATGGATTCTGTACTTTTAGTTCCGTCATTGCTCTGGTTAACTACAAGTTAGTGTTGTCAAGAATGATCATCGTTGCTGACTCCTTATGTTATGCCTGTAGATCACCACCCTATTGTTCGACTGCGACAACACCCTTGTCCTTTCAGAGGAACTCGCATTCGAAGCATGTGCAGACATCGCCAACGAGATCCTGGAAAAGCAAGGCCTCTCCGCCCGCTACACTGGCTCCCAGCTCATCGTCGACTTTGTGGGCCAGAACTTCCGCGGAATGATGGGTGCACTGCAGTCAAAATACAACTTCAAACTTCCTCAAGATGAGCTCGAAGGCTACGTCAAGGAAGAAGAAAACCGCGTCATCGCCAAGCTGGAGGCTAAAGCACGAGCCTGCGAAGGCGCCACGGAAGAATTGGCCAAGCTGGCTGCTTCGAAGAAATACGAATTGGCGGTTGTTTCGTCTTCCGCTCTTCGTCGTGTGAGGGCTTCGATCAAGAAAGTTGACCAGGAGCGCTTCTTCAACCATGACCACGTTTTCAGCGCTGCTACCTCTCTTCCTACCCCAACTACCAAACCTGACCCTGCCATCTATCTACACGCTCTTAAAGTGCTTCACAAGGCTCCTGGCGAGTGCATTGCTGTGGAGGACAGCAAAAGTGGTACTTTGAGTGCCATCCGCTCTGAAATCCCCGTCATCGCGTACGTGGGCTGCTACGAGGGAAAACAGAAGCAGGAGGAGATGGGAAAGACTCTGGTCGACCTCGGTGCCAAAGTTGTTATGAAACATTGGTCTGAATTTGAAAAGTGTGTTGCTGAGATCGAGGCGTATTGATCCCGGAAGCATGACTTGTCGATAATCCTCTAGACTTACCTTCGCGTTCTTCTTCAGTTATTGCTTCCTTCTTTCTATTTTATTTTGTTTTGTTTCTGCAACGAATTCACGAGGGAATACTGGAATCACTTGAAAGCAATGGTCGTCTGGAGCGAAATATGTGGGCTTTTACTTGAATTTTTCTTCTCTCTTCATTTCTTTGCTTCATTTTCAACTACCCTTGGTATTACACCAACAGAACCTCATCTTTGGCAGGTTTCACTTGCCTTACGCGTCGCATATTCAAAAGGGCCGCATATTTCTGACGAAGACGATCTACAGATGCTTTCGCTTCTTCTTTTGTCCTGCAAACACCTGGGCACCTGCATTAAATAGAATTAAAGACGAATACCCCTAGAAATACCCACTCCCCTGTTCTCTGCACCATAGGCAGCTCACAGGTATGAATGTGATACCCCGAAAAACCATGGCCGCGTTTTCTATTGCTTTTAGTTTATGCGATCATACGCCCTTGATACACAGACTCGACACAGCTGATATCTTTTATGACATGAGAGGGCATGGAAGTGTTTTCTCACGGATTGTGTCTCACACCTAGTTACCCTTCTTTTTTTCCTTTTTACAACTTCCAAGTTGAAATTTGTCCTTAGAAAAAAAACGAAGCTATAAAAATAAATGGAACGGAAATCAATATTAGACATTGTCTTTATCTTATTCATGTGTGATTGACCTTTTAACTCGATTCAGCCTATGCTTTGTAAAATGGGGGACTAGGTTTGAGCAGCGACTATTTTTAACATTTCCTTTGATTGATGCCTTGGGATAGTTAACCTTCTCCAACAGAATTCGAACTTGATACGTACATAATTTTGTAGTTACTTAGTGAGCCATGTAAGATCCCTCAAAATGTCACACGTACCCTATACTTACGAAGCAGCACATCGACATACCGATTATATGGCTCCCTACCCACCAAAGTAGATGGATCTCTAAAAGTCACCCAGATAACTGTCAACTATCCGCTCTTTTCCCATATCTACAGCTTCATGCATTCAAAATTAAGACGATAGAAATAGATATATTTTTCCATCCCCACTCCGCCTTCCCAATGTCTATCCCAAACCTCCCCTTTCCCACTCCAACCCAGACCCTTATCCACATCCCCATCCCCATCCCCCATCCTTACCCTCTGCATCTTTCGCCCTCCGCCATCCCAGCCCAAACAGCAACCCCTGCCCCTCAAATATCTTCCTCAATTCACGATCCCCCATCCTGGCAGCCAAAAACTTACCACCGACCTCACACAGCTCGCTTCCAGCCAACAAACTCATCGTCCCTGCAATACTGCACGGGTTATGATGGAGTGTTTGAGGCATCAACTTTCCACACTGCTAAGAAACCACACCCTTTGGCCCGTGTATGAAGAAGAAGAAAAAGACGCCATATGATCCTTTGCCATTCGATCTCGTATCTGTGAGTGTTCTGCGCAGGTGGGACTCCAAAGTACTGGAGAGAATGTGTTGTCACGAAAGGGGAATGAGGAAATCCCCTCCGTGGCATTGTTTAATAACTTCGGCTTAGATGGGTGGGTCGGGTTGATGAGACTAGAGTTTGTATCTCCTACAAAGGTTACATCGGTTGGGACTTCTTGGACATGCTGATCACGTAACGCAGCAGAGATAATGTCTAACAACGTGAGGTTGTCACGCACGCAGCCAAATGTGATGTCAAGGGATAGGCATCAGAAAGAGTTCTTATACGCCCTGATTACCCGATAGCTCGTTTGGATTTCCAATTTGCTTGGAATAGTGCAGGTCGAATAGCAAAGCCACATAACCTCCAGCTCCAAGGGGTCGGTCATGGCTTGTGTGCTACGTAGGTCGAAACTCAGGGGTCGTCGAGTTTGCGTGTTTGTCCGAGAAGGCGTTTTGGAGGCAGCTTAGGAAACGTGTTAACTGTAGGAGTAGTAGGAGCCAGGACGGGGCTCCAGAAGGCTCACTTAGCCTGTAAGAACTAGATTGCTTGACATCATCTGTTGTGAGCAGTGTATAGTTCAACGCAGGTCTTAGCGTCGGAAGTGTAAAAGTATATGCAGAAGGATTCTGGGTGGTGTCTTGGTCTTGATTGGAAGAGATATTAAAAAGGGCGTTGTCTATGTCTTATCTAGATCTTATGAATACAATCTCGTTCCGCGTCCATGTAAGGGATACTCAGGTTATGAACTTAATAAGATTCAATGGCAAACCCGTGATACCGTGTTACTGTCATCCACAACATAACTTTCCACTGTCGTGTTTCAATTGTCTGTTCTAGCAGCGACTACGGAGTGTGACAGGGCCACGTTTTAAATCTGAATTCCATAGGCCGGAAGCAACAACTGTTCAAAGGCTTACCGCAAATGCTGCGGTGGCAGATGACGCGACACCGATATGGTATTCTCGTACTGCTTCCCAAAGGGTAACCAGAGAGATGTTCCCGAGGAGGTGGTTTTGAACGCTTTGCCTAGCTGTCGCACCGCCTTTGCAAAGCACGGGAAATGGTGTGAGTATTGCAATCGTGAAGTCTAGATTGTCATAGAGTGTTGCAATGCCAACAAAACAAGGACGGAAAAATACTGGCGTGAATATTTCTTTTGTTCCGTTTGAATGGCCGCCAGCCCGATATTCTGATTTAATAGCAGATGTATCACCTCAAGGGCAGCAACAGCCAGAAGCGGCATAAAATATGTGAGCGTGAGGATAGATTTTCTTGCCGCAAATGGCTTCCAGAACCGGCCTGCTGTGGTGACTTGCTCATTCGCACATTCGCAACTTTCTGCCCCAAGGTTATGATGGGCGTTAATCGTGAACGATCGGTAAGTCAACGTTCTAAATGTATACTCTTGAAGTCTCTTCCGGATACCAGAATCCGGAAAATGGCCAGAGTCCAGCAGACACGGTAACAAAGCTTGCAAACATCACCTGGAAAGAAGATACCCTCACATCAGACGATTTTAGGTAATACACGACTGTCCCATTGGCGCTCTGAGATGTTGGTATGATGAAGTTCTGCTGGGCAAATTGGGATACAAGTTGAGGAATTTGTCAAGCGTGGCGCCTCTGGCTGCAACCCCGAAGCATTAATTGTAATAATGCAATTGTTTCGCGTCTGATTTCGAGTCAGAAGTAAACAAAATTGAAACCGGGACAGTCCATATAGAAATATTGATACCCGCAGCGATTGCTTCATTGAGTGCTGAGCTCGTTATCTTCCCCAGACTTATCACATTTCGGTCGTTGTTCTGGCAGCTGAAGATCGATTTGAGCGGCCATTCCGAATTCATGATGTTCGTCAGAATTTCCTTTTCCACCTTTATGGACCAATTTGTAACATTCAGCTCTAAAGGGAACTTGGTCCAAAACTGTTGGGTGTAACGCACGTCCAAGACGGTGGGAAGCCTACGTAAATCGCCATTTTCTTTGTCTTTTAATCAATGGACTAGGTGATGAGCGTTCCAGGTCGTCCCCCTCAGAGCAGCTCAATCTCCGCAGCTCGGGATGTATCTCACGAGGCGCCAGTTGAACTGGGGTTGTGTGTGTTGACTTGGAGATTTGACTATTTGTCGAGGCCGAGAATGGACTCATTCTAAAGGGGTCGGGGTTGGTTTACTGGCGTCTATTGCCTGAGCTGGCTCGTGAATCGTGGACGTTGGCCAGTTCGCATGTTGGCAAGGGGACAAATTCGTCCACTCTAGTAGATATGCCTATCATGCCCCTTGCTCAGGGCTGTTTTTCTCGAAAATCAAACGTCTGAAACAGAACACACCCTTTGTTCCAGTAAAATCGGCCATTCCTGTAGTTGATGTACCAGAGAAATGTCCTAGACAACTACAGAGGAGATACAAGAGAGACAGAGTTTATAAAACAATGACATATTCGATTTCAGTTCGGTGCAGTCAAAACATGGAAGAAAATTCTTTCATCAAGATACGCTCAAAACCGCCCATCTTGAATGTTGCCTCGCTCGCTATTAGCAATTTTCTCATAGTTGACAGCGCAACATTCCTTTAACATACTACGCTGTCTTTGGGCTTATTATCCTGTAACTTATGTGGTTGATTTCCTTCGTAGTTTATGTGTGTTGAGTGGTTCTAGTCACGTTAACGCCCAGAGAGCCCTTGGAACCTTGGAACGGACTCCCCGTCTTGTTAATTCACCCATTGAAAACATCCAGCTATAACCTTTGGCAATGAGGGCCAGTTAATTGACCGGAGCTTAATAGTCTTGTATCGTGCGAAATCAATTAATTTGCACAGGGAACAATGCCCTCCGAATCGTCTCCCAAAAAACTATCCAAAGAGAGTCTTCTTTCAACGGAGCCACTTGTACGTTTGAAGCACCCCTGAAGCACCCCTCGGCTGGTGTTTTATGTTATGGATTCCTACGTAGATGTACCGTGATTCGATGTGTGCATCTATATTTCGACTACTCTTCATCTTAAGTGCCAGAAGGCTCTTTGAAGCAAAAAGTTTTACATTCCGGGCTACTCAATTTCCAGTCCAGAGACTTAATCAGCCTCTTTTGAATGTATCATTCGCCCATAATAGATTGGCGAATAGTTGCATAGATGCCTCAACGATTTGCAGATGCGTCAATCCCCTTGCTGACATTTTTCCTTCGTGCAGAATCCGACAGAGGCACAATGGATTCGGCTGGTTAAATCGACATACACGGATCCAAACGGTGTGACAAGGACGTGGGAATCTGCCGAGAGACGGGTAAGGGGATTTTCTGTTTACATTCATATATAGCCTGGTTCTATTTCTGGAGAGTTGCTGTCTCCGGTTAACTTTTCTGTATTCTTTCGTTTTCGCCCAATATCGACAGTTGCTGTAATGAATGAAATTTTGCTCCCTTCGTCGAACAATGTTTACAGAAGATCACAATGCGTGCGACATACCCTGCACACAGCCTAGAGACATACTTTCGAACTTTCTTACACACCAACCCCTCATGGAATCTCCCTTCTAACAATTTATGATCAATTACAGACGAGGCCTAAAAACTGCCCCATCGATGGGGTTGGCATATTCACAATTTTAGCCAAACCTTCAGGCCCAGAACTACTGCTACAGAAGCAGTATAGGCCGCCCATCGACAAGGTGGTCATTGAAGTTCCTGCTGGTCTTATTGATGAAGGCGAAACTCCCGAGGAATGCGCAGTCAGGGAACTTCGAGAGGAGACGGGGTATGTTGGCGTTGCGGAGGAGAAGAGTCCAATTATGTATAATGGTGAGCCACCAGTGTCTCCTGTTTTTTCTGCTCCTGTTGCCAATGCACCCTTCCTATCAACAAGTATCATAGAGCCTTTATGTACTCCATACGGTCCCTCAAATGGTTGTTAAAACCAAAAGCAATATGTCCTTAAAATAAAGTCTAACCATATGTCCAATTCCGCTCGTTTCTAACATCCGCCAAAGACCCGGGCTTCTGCAACACGAATCTGAACATGGTCCATGTTCGCGTCGACATGTCTCTACCAGCGAACCGGGACCCGGAGCCCCGACTGGAAGACAACGAGTTCATCGAGTGTTTTAGCATCCCGCTCGCCTCGTTGTATGAGGACATTAAACGCCTTGAAGGCGAAGGTTATGCGATTGATGCCCGAGTTGGCACGCTGGCGGAGGGCCTGGAGGTTGGAAAGAAGTTGTGTTTAGGGCTTGGGGTTTAAAGGTTCAAAGCCTAAGGGGTCGGGTGATTTAATGCTTTGGAATTACCCTTGCACTTATAATCTTTCAGATTCTACCGGGCGGGCGAGATTTGATTGAGATAGATATAGAGAACTGAATGGGTGCATCTCGTATATACCCTATTTTAGTTTTTCAAGCATGTAGAGAATTGACATGCAACATAGATGATAGCATTTTAAGGGTTATTGGAAATTGGATGTTCCAAAGTTTTGTTGGCTTAACTGCACCATCTGCATGAGTTGGTTTTGTTGACCTAGCATCGCCCTAAGTGATGGACAACAAATATCTTTCATCCAATACTCCCTTTCCTTCTATGAATCTAAAATTCCACCCACGAAAAGAAGACCTACCTGATCATTCATACATCCCAACACCCCACCTACAAAACCCCTTCCCTCTTCAAACCTTAGTACAATGCCCAAGCTGCCAGTGTCTTCCCATCCCTCCACGCCTCCCTCCACATCTCCTCCAACTTGACAACCATCAACGTAATCTTCTCCCCATCCTTCCGCAATCCAGTCAGTTTGCCCTGTAACCCTTCAATTTCCCTTCTAGCCATACGCTTCTGACACAGGAAAAGTGGGATGAACTCATCGGAGCCGCCGGGGGATGGGTATACGCCCGTTTGCAGCTTTTCTCCATCACCATCTCCATTGTTATTGTCGTCAATACCTTTTCCTCCCCTTTGTTCGTGGTCACCTTTCCGTCCAGTTTTGGGTAGGCTATTCGCAAGCGCGGTCAGATCTACAAGTTCATCTTGTGGTATGACTAGGCCTGTCTCTTCTTGGATTTCCTTTGCAGCGCCGCCCGCGAATGTGCCGTTGTCATCCAGCATACCGGCTGGGATCTCGGGAAAGGCGAGAGAGCCGGCAGGAATGCGTGGTTGGATAGTTAAGATCGAATACTTTTCAGATTCTGATGTTTCGGGGATGTCGTTTGGTTGGAGGATTAACTAAGTAGCGTAAAGTTCGTGGCGTAAGCCCGTGAAGGGAAGATAGTTCAGAGCAATGGAATAGAAGTGGACATGGGGGACTGAAGTTCCAGGGGATGGGTATTTTAGTTTTGTTCATCACAGATGGAATCATTCAGGACAGAATGATGTAAGTGTATATTCTCCTAGGTGCGAAGAAAATAGGAGATGCATAAGATCAATTGACAAATTGGACACTGACCAGCACGCCAACGCTGCCTCCTCTTAAAAACACGCTTCCTGGTAGCCTCTCCCCATCGTCATTCGACACATCAACCTTGAGTTTCACAAACCCCAATCGATTGCCGCCGAAGAAGTCCACGGCTTGGATCTGGATCTGGCGCAAGGCATAGGGTGCTCCGTGGAATTCGTGGGATGGATCGGCCTGTCTGGAAAGCGAATGCTGCAGTGTGGACAGCCATATCTTGAAGGCTGGGAAAGCAAGTAGCTGAGCCTGTGAGAGATCGGGCGTTAGGTGAACAGGCAATTGCGAGGCGCTGTTTGGGATAGTGAACGTTGACATTATTCTGCTGCGGAGTCCGCTGCCGA